TTAAATTTGAACGATATTACAAAGCTTCCATTCGGATGCAAAAATCAAAAAATATCCCTGTTATCTTCCTGCTCAATAACTTCCAAAGCTCAGACCCACCAAATTTTGAGAATACTCTGATTAGAGCAAGTCAAAGACAGTAATGGTACAACAAATTGACACTGAAGTCCCCGAGAGTTGGATGAAAATTAGAGAATCCCCATTGGGTTGCTTAAACACCCCCCTCCCCTTCCGGCACACTCTTTGAGTCAACCTGCGGTCGTGACAGTGTGTGCACACACACTGACAAAAGTAGATGGAATATGTTGAACGTTGTGTACAAGGCTTCAAGCAGCATAGCACGATATAATGGCGCCCCGGGGACTGGGGAAAGCCTAGATAACACAATTACGCCCCGGTGTGTTGCAGAGGCCCGACGTTCGCTGGTTCGCTGCTTGATTTATCCGCGTGGCGTTGCGTTATTGCATTAGCGCTCTTTCCCGCACCCCACAGTATCCAAGCATCTCTTCCACCCATCCCCACCCCCGCCAATCTCTCTTCTCTCTCTCGTTGGTTCTGTTCTCTGCCCATTCGTTGGCTTCTTCCTCAGTGGAGCAAGTCCGAGGTCTGTGTCCACCCGACGGTGAATCATACTGAAGAATTATGTCTTGGAACGTGTTTGGATAGGTAAGCATTTTATCGGGGGCGGATGGGGCAAGATGAAACGGTTGGATGAAGCTGCCTTCATGATCCTAGATGTGACCCAGTTTATACCGTTCAGGTTGAAATTATTATGAGCGCCAAAACGTCGAAGATACACTGAGAAAAATCCATCCTCGATTTCGAAGGCGCGCTCGACTTTAAAACAATTCAAAAGCGGCGATTGTGTTTTAAAGTCGCTCTGTTGAATCAAGGACGTCGTCATCAAGTCATTGCTTTTGGCATTTGGAGTGATAGTTTACGTCGTCGAAAAATGCGCGTCCTTGATTCAATGTCACTGGAGTTTGGTTCAACACTGACGGAAATCATCCAAAAGCAGGAATCTTTGATTTAAAGTTCCTCATGTCTTTGATTTCTATATCCATCAAAGTTGAAGGCTTAGGCAGTTGATTCAATGTCTTACGTCATTAAATTGCAAGAGTCAGAGACACGTAGGCCTTTGGAAAAAAGATGCCCTCGACTTTGATTCAAGCACCTGTTTTTTTAGAAACTGCTTTAAATCAAAGTCGCGCGATGTTGAATGCATTTATGGGCATAATGTCTTGAATTAACCCGTCAGTACACCGATAGAAAGGATTAGTTATTATTAACGAATGGATTTGGTTGGAGGCTAGAATCTATTTGGTCTCGCCAAATGTTCATTCGTTAATAGTTCACAAATGCATATTTGACGAGCCTTGGTTAACTCGACTTTCAGGTTTCAAGTGAACCATTCATTAACTATTAACGAATATTCATTTGGTCATTTTCAAGTCTAGCATTCCTTAATAGTTAACGAATCTCATTCGGAATAAATGAATCATTCTATCAGTGTAGTCGCGCTTTTTTTAGTATCTCATTCACACTGCAGAGACGGCCTCTAGGTTGACTAGTATTACGTGAGAGAAAATTTTACACACGCCTAACGACGGGTGAAACTCCGCGCTCTTGAACGAGCCGCAGATTTTTCTCAGTGTCATCCCGAGTCAAAATTTGACCGCGTCTCCCGACGTAGTTTCAACGTTTTGAACCTACATTGCTTTGATGTTCAAATTCTCCGCCGAATTTTCACCGTACTTTCAACTTATCTCAACGTGAAGGCCCATATGGATGTTGAAAAACACTCCATATCCACCGTATATTAAATGTACTCTTAACGTTAATGACATTTGTTTTCTGTTAACGTACGTTGCAAGTTTCGATTGCTAAAATTTGATTGTATCAAGGTCATAATTGACGATAGTTAAAAAATTCATTACCGTGTTAAGAACTCACATACCTAAATTATTAGTGTCACTACATTAATAACATTAATTCGAAGTTCAAACAATCATGCGTCTGAAAGGTGAGTTGGGTCAGAAGGGTTCGTTGAGTATAAGGGTCAGATGAGTATAAGGGTGAGTTGAGTCCAAAAGATTACGCGAATCTAAGGGTCAGATTAGTGAAAGCCTCAGTTGAGTTCAACTGTCAGTTGAATTTAAGGGCCAGTTGTGTGTAAGGGTTAGTTGAGTGCGAAGGCCCTATTGGGCCTGAGAGTCAGATGAGTCTAAGACGAGGATAAGGGTCAAATGAGTCTAACGGTCAGATCGATTCTGAGGGTCAGGTGAGCCAAAGGTCATTTAACTTTTAGATTGAACTGACCCTTAAACTCAACTCAGCCTTTTACTCATCTGACCTTTAGATTCGCCTGACCCTTCCTACTCTTTTGACCCTTAGGCTCAACTGACTCGTAGATTCGCGTGATCCTTCACACTCAACTGACCCTTAAATCCGCCTGACCCTTTGTCGTTATTTGACCCTTAGACTCAACTGACTCTTAGATTCGCCTGATCCTTCGGACTCAAATAAGCCTTAGACCCACCTGACTCAACGGACACTTGGACGCAATTGACCTTTAAACTAAACTGAAGCTTTTGCGTATCTGACCCTTACTCAGCAGACCCTCAAATTCGCATGATCCTTCGGACTGATCCTTAGACCCATCTGACCCTTAAACTCAACTATCATTGAGACGCATCTAACCTTTAAACTCAACTGAGACTTCTACTTATCTGACCCATACTCAACTGACCCTTCGTACCCTTTTGACCCTCAGATTCGTGTGAATCTTCGGACTCGGCTGACCCTTATATCCATCAGGGAGTCTATTCTCGATTTAAAATCGTGCGTTCGATTTCAATAGGTCGCATGCGACTCGTGGTACGCCTTATGGGCCGTATGCGACTTGTTGAAGTCGAACGTACGATTTCAATTCGAGAATAGGCTCCCTGGCCCTATGCTGAAGGTTTTACGCTTATTGATAAAAAAAACCCATATGGCCCTCATACTCATGTGATCCTTATACTCATCTGACCCTTAGATTCATTTGACCCTCAAGCTCAATTGTTCCTTAAACTCAACTGACACTTGAACACAACTGATCCTTAAACTCAACTGAGCTTTTTACTTACCTGACCCTTAACGAACTGACACTTACATTCGCCTGACCCTTCGTACTCTTTTGACCCTTAGGTTTAACTGACCCTTAGATTCGCGTGATCCTTCAGACTCAACTAACTCTTACACTTATCGGATCTTTACACTCACTGACTTTTATATGAAGGGTCCGACCCTTAGACACCTTAGACCTATATGGACTCTAATTCCCTCTCATCTCCTCCCCCTGCTCCTTCCCTCTTAATTTCCTGTATTCAGGGTCATAAGGGTCAAATAGAGGTAGCAGCAAATCTACTTGTAATGGTTAGATACTTTTATAAAAGGTCGAATGATCATAGGGGTCGAATGGGTCATACAGGAAAACGTGGAAACAGATGCTAAGGGTCAAACGATTATAAGGTATGTAAGGTTCAATTGATCATAAATAAATAGACTGTTTACCATATCTATATTGAGTTCCATAATTGAAGAAAACGAAAGAATCAGATAGGAATACCATATTTTATTCACATAGCCGATAAACTTCTTCGTAACTAACAACTCTACGGTGGCCGAGTGGGTAAAGTCAAGGAATAGCGTCCCGAAAGTTCCAGGATCGAATCCCGACGAGTCCACCTTTTCACTCATCATTATCAGGGGTTATTGGTTTCTTTAGGAAGGATTAGTCGAAGAATGTAAATTAAATCATAAAAACATAATGTATTAAATAATGTTTTCAACTATTAAAAATGAGCATTGGATGGGTCACGGGTGCCGATCATCGGCCGATGTTTGGCAACCAATACCGGCTGAACGTTATCAAACCGTATGAAAAAATCGTAAAGAAATTTTCTACATGGATTGCGTATAGAATTTCTATAGGATCTTTTTTCGGATGTCGATGCCGACATGAGACCTTTCTTTTTGAAATAATCTTCTTTTTCAACTCACATGAAGTCCGTAATCCGAGTGACTCGATTTGAAATAAGTCAAAAATTGACTAGAATCAAGTCGACGTTGACTTGAATCAGTCCTTTTGATTTCGGTGGTTGCCGTTCTCAGGGAGAAGGTTTATGGAACCTACCTAATACAGATACGCATAAACACTCATCAGATCGCAAAATGTTCTTTGCCAATGTGATTTGCATGTGCTTTCCCCCTTAGAATACCATTGGTGTACGTCAGTGCATGAAAATCGGCATCCGTTTTGCATATGAGCTCGTACACAAGAACAAAATTACGATTACGTACGATTGTAACTATTATTTTTTTTCTTTGATTTCACCACAATTTTGCCTTCAAATGTTTCTTTGACAGTTTGGCTAAGGAATCATAAGATCAATTAATACTTTCCTCTGCAATGTTCCTCTGATTCTCCTTCTGTTCACCCAATCCGAAAATTATCCACACATCACAGTCACCTAGTTCTTCTCTTGAGAATTCCCACTGAGTTTTTCTGGTATTGAAAACGTAGCGCCGTAGTTAAACAAGATAATCCAAGTTTTCTTCGACACCAGTGTCTTCAGAACCTCTCGGAATCGAAGGGAGATGGCGAAAATTTTGTGAGCCCCAGTTGCTCAACAAAAAAGTTCCAGGGGAAGATTACCCTACCCCCTCCGACTGCAAGAAATGTATCAAGAACTGACCTCAAAGTGGTATTGATTTATCTAATTTCAACACTGCTACTGATCTGAAAATCTCTCCATTCAAGACTTGTCTGTTTTTATTACTTCACTACTGAATGATCAATTCCTCCCAATAAAACTTTCAAAATCAATAAAATTCTATAGCGAATGATAGAAAATTCAATTGCTCGTATCAAAACAGATAATCAGTGGAAATTCCCCTCGCCTCTCATCACACAAAAAAAAAACAATTTTCATTTTATTAATCACATAAACAGACCTTTACGATGGCCTACCGAGCCCGAGTGCTTCCTGGTGTCTTCTCGCTTTGAGCCTCAGATCGGCAATTGAACTATTTTTGGATCTTGCTGCAGCGGCGGCTAAAGACGCCGCAAGACTCAGGGGATGTGCGTGGGAATGACTATTGGGGGGTAAACAGAAGAGGCCTCCTGCTGCTGCGTAATGCAGTACAGCGGGATCGAATGCTGAACCGGGTCCTGAAGTCGGTGGGTTGACGTTGGATGATGGTTGCAGTGGAGGATGAAGTCGTAACGCTGGGAGATATGGGGCCACTCGACAGGATTCCAAGGGGGTGGGAGGACTTCGGGGCGCCAAGACCATCCCTGCGGTGATTCCTTTTTTAAATAGAAAGATGGAGAAAATTATTGACTTATGGTCCTCGGGCATCAGAATGAAAAATTTGCATTTTGCAGTGCGGAATTCTGAATTAGGGGAAAAAAAATCCGAAAATCGAAATTGAGAAGTCGCCGTTGGAAATTGTGGATTCCGGATTAGGGGTCAACTGTTCGGAAATACGAATTGGAAATAAAAAATTCAGTAATAAGTATTTAGAAATCGGAATGGGAATTAGGAATTCATAACTGGCAATTGTAAATTAGGATTAGGGTTTGACAAATTCAAATCCTAAATTAAAATCAGGAATTTGGAATTCGCAATTGGGAGTTATGAATTCAAGATCAGGATTTGAGAATTTCAAATCAGGGATGAGAAATTCCAAATTAGGAAGGTTTCGTTATTAGGAATTGAAAACTCGACATCCGGGATCGGAAATTCACCATTGAAAATTTGGCAATTCCGGATTTGGCTTCAAGAGTTCGGTACTAGGACTCAGGAATTTAAAATTCAGGACTAGAAATTTGGAAAGTAAAAGTGAAAGTAGTAATTGTAAATTCAAGATTAGAATTCAAGAATTCCGATTTAGGAATTCGTTATTAAGAGCTGGCAATGAGGACATCAGGAATTCGATATTAAGGAAGGGGAAGTGAAAATTTGAAACAAGAAATACTCAATCAGGCACTGAGAATCAGGGATTCACAATTAATAATTAAGAACCAAGAATTTCGAGTCAGGGATGACGGCTTTCGAATTGCAAATCCAGGAATTCAGGATTATACATTCAGCATGAGGATTGTGAATTTGGCAATTAAGAAATCTGAATCGGGAATTATGAATTTGGCGACTGGGAATCGTTGATAGAAATCAGCATTTCAGAACGAGCAATTCAGAATTGCAGATTACCAATTAGGAATTAGGAGATTCAGAAATCAAAGTAAGGAATTAAAGAATTTGTGATAAAGCATTTCGGATAATAAACTTGGAATCAGGAAATCAAAATAAGGCATAGACCCGGGTAGAAATTCAACCGGGGATTCAGCCGCAACTCGGGTGAGCGCGAGCTCAGCCTCGGCTTGCCGCTTAACCCGAGTTCACGCCGCGACACGCCGCTCCATACCGGCTCACAGTCGAACGCTCATCAGACGGCATAACCCGGCACTTGAGTTTGAGCTGTGGCTCAATGCTTAGAACTCAGCTCCGATTGAGTCGTGTCGTTTCGAGTGGAGGGTGGAATAGAATGATATTTATGCATTTTTAGAATATCGATTTAAAATTTGAATACTTTGGAAAATCCTTGTCTTCTTACTATAAAAAAAATGGAATTCCACTGAACTTTCTATAAAATTTGAAATTTACTGATTTTTCCCTCTGTCATCGAATATAAAACCTGGCACTTTCTCTAAGAATTCCTACTGAATTTCTATTGGAGCTCTATGAGAATTCTATT